GGGTCGCTCCCCTGAGCTATCGGATTGGCGCCTTTGAGTACATATCACGGGCCCACAGTTAAAATTAGCCACAAAGAGTTTTACAGAAAGTTATGAGATCCCTTTCAGAATGTTTTACAGAAAGTTGTTTTTGAGATCTCTTTCAGAAAGTTTTACATAAATGTTTTGAGAAAGAAAATTTGAGATCTCTCCAGTAGTTTTAAGAAATTATTTTAGAAAATATTTTCTTTTGGGATCTCTCTCAGAATTTATTCAAGAAGCTGTTTGTTAATTGTTTGTTTAGTGCATGCTTATAGCCTAAATTTATCTATTGATAAATTAGCATAGACTTCGCAGATATTTTTGTGGATCCATAGTGACTTACTAAGCGTAAAGCTTATCAGTCCTCTTTCTTCGCATGTACAGATACTAAAGGTAAGGCCAAGGCCTAGGAAGATGATGAGAGAGTGAACGCGTGCCGAAATGAGTTAACAGGAACGACCTTGGCGGCTTCTAGCTAGTTATTATTTTTTTTAGTATTTCAGATGTTATATTAAAGTGATTATTATTACTTTATTTTATTTGAAGATTTGAAGTTTTAGTAAATTCCCGGATCCAGGTGGTTATCACATTTTGCTGGTGATAACTAGATTTTATTGAGTTTTTATTTGGAGCTATATTTTTGTTATGTTGATATTTTATCAGGGTTATTTAGTAAACAAGCGGCCGTTATATTGCAGTTTTTTTTTAAGTAGTAAGTTTATGTAACGTTTCCTTTAACCCTGAGAGGGGCGTTACAGGACCCCAGGTAGATGAAGAAGAAACTTAATCTTTCATCCTTGTTTCTGTATTTAACTCTCTGATAATAAGATACCATCTCTGCCTCTAAATTTCATGGCATCTTAAATTATCTGTTCTTCTTTACTTTCTGTGATTTCCTTCCGTTTGCTCTGATACCTTATTTCCTTTTATTGCTATCTGATTGTACTGTACTCTTACTATTATCCTATGCCAAGTTGCCCACCAATATTTTAATGAAAGTTTTTAACTTTATTCTTTTATGGTGAAAGGCACTTCTTTGGAAATAGTTAAAGGGTTTTTTGCATCATCAAAAAGGGGGAAATTGTAAGGAATACATGTAATTAGATGTTGATGATGCAAGGTTTATTAGAATTTGAAAGTACCCATATAGAATTTTTGTATTAGAAATTTCTTTGTAAGTATTAGCATAGTCGACATGCCAGAAACCCTCTTGGTCTTCTTGATCAGAATATCTACCAGAGTTGCTTCCAGAGTTGCTCTCCAGAGAAGCTACCAGAGTTGGGTACCAGAGTTGGCATCAGAGGCAGTCATCAGAGTTCGGATCAGAAGGCCTCATCAGACTTGCTCTTACTTAACAAAACTCGAAGGCACTTCCAACGGCCGTGAAACTAACGGGAAATCCTCTAACGGCTAGGAGCCTTTCGACGGGAACATGGTACTGTACACGCATTAAATGCTCAATTAATGTTGTACGTACGAAGATATATTTAAAGCTGATGATTGACCATGCGGGTATCTTCACGACCCCAAAATAGCAAGTCGAAGGTCCAACCGGTCAAATCAACAGTACAAGCATTTAATGAAGCTGTCTTCTACACTCCAACGGGGGGACTACTCCCACTATATAAGATACACTTCGAAGAACTACAAGGATAACTTTGCTCAACTTATTTGCTCTGAACCAAAAAAATCTTCAAGCTTTCTTGAGATCAAAAACTCACTTACCTCAACAAGAAAAGATTAAGTTGGAAGATATATTTTCATATCCTTCATCCAACTAAAAAGTAGCAAAGTTCCTCAGTTCTTCAACACTTCGAAAGCATCATCTACACATCCTTTGTGAAGAAGCAACGTTGGAGAAAACTGATCTTGAATCAAACACTTCTTGAAAAAGAAGGGACGTCTCAAACTAACTGGAGTAAGTGAAGTGGGGATACTTCCAAGAGACTCAGTGAAATGAGACCAGCCATCAAGAAGCAGGACTGCATCCCGGGTGGCAACTAGGCTTGAAGAAGACATGGAGTGCTTCTTAAGTTCTAAGGACTAAGGCGTTGTAAACTGTTGTCTTTGCAAGCATAGTGGAACAGTGGACTAAAGGAACACGTTGTTCCTTGAACCACTATAAAAATCCCCGGTGTCATTTACTTTACACATTTAATTCTGCACTTAGGATCTTGACTGTTTAACTCAAAAGGTTGGACTCTGTGTTCAGCAGATCTCCCTTAAGAGTTATCAGAAAGGCATTTGCCTTAGTGTTTTCTGAGGCTACCCGGACAGAAACCAATCCGCTGCGAGGTCCAGTTCTGCCATCAGAACTTGACCTTCTCTGTCACCAGAATTCGACCATCTCTGATAAGTCAGTTGTGACTTAGAGAAAAGTTTTGAAAAATCCTGAACAGTCTATTCACCCCCACCCCCTCTAGACTGTTCCCATTATAAACGGGACCAACAATTTTGGGACTAACATACCTGGACAACTTGGTCCGGTCTCATAGGCATTTCACACTTTGGTGAATACGGGGTTCCAGTGGGTAGATGTTTGTTCTTATACAACTTGATCCGATCTCACAAGCATCTCAGTGTTTAGTAAATAAGTTCTTCCAGTGGTAAATGTCTGTGCCCAAACAATTTCGTCCGGTCTCACACGCATTTCACACTTTAGTGAGTAGGGGTTCCATCCTTAACACGCATTTCACAATTTCGTCCGGTCTCACACGCATATCACACGCATTTCACAATTTCGTCCGGTGGGCAAATGTCTGTGCCTAGACAAATTGGGTTGGTCTCACAGAAAAATGAATGTACCTTCATTTTTTTCTTCCCCTTTTCAATAGGCCCCTTTAGCTTATTTTTTCTGGGAGCGCCATTACGTTTTGTCCCATTTGGGTCTTGAATAGGGACACTACTTTGTGCATTCACGCCTTGGATTTGGATTGGGGGTGTGTCCGTTAATTGAGCCATAACTCCATAAATTGATGAACGAATGTTTGACATGGTGCATTCTGCCAATTCAGCTTCAAGCCATGTTATGATGCATGCATAGTGTTCATCATCATCAGCAACACTATTCGCAAGTCTTTCAAAGGTGGTGCATAATTTGTCAAACCGTTGTTGTTCTTTTGTCGTAACCCAACCATCCTTTTTTGACATCTCTTCTCCACCTTTGCTTGATATAAAAATCCGGTAAGAGGTTTACTCCGTTACGCAAAAGGACTACGATGATGTGCCTACAAACAATCCCTCTAAACTCAAATAAGTGGCATGTGCACGCTGCTTTTGGGATGGAACTATCGTACTCAACCACAACATGCATAGTTTTGTGAAACCCGTTCACCTTTTTGTCTTCACTGATATTGTAATATATACCATCATCGCTGCCTAACAGGTCACAATACAACTTTCTGATCATTTCATTGTGAAACTCCTTGAACCTTTAAAAGTGTGTATATTTGCTGCAACTGATATTCCATGGCATACGTAGTCACACAAAGTATCATTTTGGCGAAAAAACTTAGCATTCACTTGGAACTCTTTCTCCATTTTGCTTTTCAAATCAAGCCTATATTGGTCATCGAATTCTTTGATACTTGTCTTTGAATGAACAAAGTCGTCAAAAAAAGCATTCATGCTCTCACTACATTTGGTCGTTGACATCTCTGCCCAAAAACTAGGCCTCAAGTAGGGGATCCACCGCTGCCTTTCATTGTAAAGCACATTTAGCCATTCATGGCCATTAAGATCAAATTTGCACATTACAAACCATGAATATTACGAAAGTTGTGCTATGGAACAAAATTTGTTAAAAATAAATGCTTACTTATGCAACATAGAAGTCCATGCGAACTCATATTCTGCACCTGTTTGGGAGTAGTAAACAGCATCATGTAAACAAGCAATTAATTCATCTTTATCACTCAACCATCCCATCTTCTCGGGCACCATTTTCATTATATGTCATAGACACCACCGATGTCTTGTATTTGGGAACACAATTTGAATGGCGTTCTGCATTGCCCTATCTTGATCGGTAATAATTCCACTCAGAGGACAACCACCCATACACTCAAGCCACTTCGAGAACAACCACACAAATGTGGTGCTTTCCTCACTTGAAATTAAGCCACATCCGGACCAGATAGATTGATCATGATGATTTACTCCAACAAAGGGTGCAAAGGGCATGTCATACCTATTGGTGAGATAAGTTGTATCAAAAGTAATCACATCTCCAAAATCTCTATATGCACAATGGCATTGTTTGTCCGCCCAAAACACATTGCGAAGGCGAGATTCTTCATCTACATCAAAGGCAAAGAAAAGACTGGGGCACTCTGCTTGCATTTTGCCAAAGAAATTTTGAATTGCAATGGCATCACCACTTCCTAAACGCAAACGGCGAACTTTGTCAATGTAGTTTCTACAATCCTTTTCAATGAACGGTAATTGATCATATTCGTCCGCTTCTACTATGGCAAAGGTGAAACTTTTGTGAAGAGGTATTCCAGCAACATCATTTATTTCAAGTCTTCTCCTCATATTCATAGTCAATCTCCAATTACATCAAAAAGCTCTAGTTTTGGTAGGACTCGTGGGGTGGTTATGCTCTTCATGCACTTTCGAAATTAGCCATGACCTGGCATAGTCATAAATCACTTTAATTCGGGCTTTGCAACCTATTGCACTTGAAGGTCCAGGCAATAAAGAATTGGTGGACTTTGAAACTCTATTTTCAGCACAGCTACACTCAATTAACATTCCTGATGTGTTTCCTTGTTTATCTTTCATCGAGCTCTTAATTGTAATTGGAAAACCTATACTTTTTGCGTAATTCTTATAGTGATCATTGGCTTCATCTTTCTCGGAAACATCTCAACTTCTACATGGACGTCTGGTGTACCATCATCTACATTTGTGTTATCCGGGTCTGAGTGAAGACATATATAACAAATAATGATTACTAATATAAATGTTTGTGCACAGGCAATAACAACACAAACATTTACTTCGTTAGTGTACACAAGCAATAACAATACAAACACGTACTTCAATTGGTCTGTGTACACAAGTAATAACAATACAATCATTTACATGATTTCGTCAGTGTACACAAGCAATATAAATACAAAGATTAACACAAATGTTAGAGTAACGCAAATACAATACTTTTACTTCAAAATGTTAGAGTAACACAAATGGATGTTGAACTATACAAATACAATGTTATTCACTTCTAGAGGCACTGAAACATCAAAATGCATGTGTACACAGACATTACATTCCATGTACCCTTTCATGATCGGTGTTTGGAATATCTCTTTCCTCTCCGTCCCGACGTCTTTTGTACTGGGTTGAGTTTCATCTTGTGTCGTCCGTCTTTCGTACTGGGTTGAGTTTCATCTTGTGTCGTCGGTGCTTCAGACCCGAATTGCTCTCCTTGGGATGTTATAAAATCACCCATGTCGTAACTACTAATGAAGGCCATCTCCTCAACACTGTAATCCATTCACGTAATTGCTTCAAACCAGACTGTTGAAGGCCATCTCCTCAACAATTGTGAAGAGAACAAGATGGAGAAGAAGCTTAAGTGAAAGGTGCTCCCTTTGAGTGCGAAAATATGTAAGGGGAAGGGGGAGAGGGAAGGAAAGAAAGAGAGGAGAGGAGTTCTTTAACCGGAGGTAAATGGAATGATAATTTTCGTGCTTAGTTCTCAGCTTCCAACTCATAACGTCCATCACTCTGCAAGCTCATATCAAACGCTGCCCGGTTGGAATTATTAAGCATCTTCCCAATTCGTTTCCTATGTACCCCTCTAGCTCTTGATCTGTTCCCCTTCCTGGGATTATTCTTGAAATCCGCATCAGCTTGATCATCCGCAGCAGATATTCTTTTCAAATCCTGCTCACCTGAACGAATATCACTTCCCTTCCTGTTTAAATAATTATTAGTCCTGCCCCTGGATTTGGTTCGTGAAGAATTTGGATGGAAGGCGGTTTTGTTCGCTCCCCAAGTATCTGCACTCAACAATTCTGGATCTGAATTGACACAACTCTCAAATCTACCCGTAGCAATACCTCCTCTATTGGGGGAGGATTCAGATTGGAATTTGAATAATTGCGGCCCGTCTTTCTCGGACCACAGGTCAAACCCTCTCGGCTTCTGGAAACGGTCAGCCAGCACCCTGAGCTGTTCATCGGCGCTTACAGAGAAGAGAGTGGGGGCCTTTTCAACGGCCTCCCACGGCCTCTCGAGCTCGGAGATTGCGGCTTTGAGCTCAGCGCGCTTGCGCATCTCGTATATCTGGCGTTCGCGAGCCAGCCGGGCTTTGAGGAGCTGCTTTGATTTTTTGGCTTGCATTCTCTTCCACTGCCACTTGGTAACTCCTCCCGGGAAGGTCCTCGGGCCGCCTCCCATGCAAACCGTCGTCGGTTTGTTAGCGGCGGTCAGTCCGAGGCGAGAAAATTCGATGTGGAGGAAAAATAATCTTGTGGGAGACAAAGGAGATACGGATGATGAGAGAGGATGATTGATTGGCGTTCCGGAGAGGGCTGATGGAAGCAGAACCATTTTTCGCTTTTCAAGAGCTCAAAATTTTGCAGATCGATAACGAAGGAGGAGGCGTTGGGCAATCGTCGTCGAAATGGCTTCTTTAGGAGAACCTTTTGCCCTCTGCGGGCTGCTTCCGTCATTTTCAGCCAGGAGAGGCCCATTTCAATCTTACACTTCCGCCGGCGCAATAAATTGGCCACTTGTCAAAAAAAGTTTGATAATTTAACTAATTGATCATAAAATTAATAGAAAGCGCTATATTTCAAATCACTAGTTCAAAATATTTTTATTTGCATCATTTCATTTTAGCGTTTTTGTTAAAGATGCTAGTAACGAACAACTATTTACTAAATAATTTTTTCACTAATTGAAAACGTTAAAAATGCTCAAACCACCATTTGTTACCGAAACACGATTTACCAAACACCCCCAATATCTCTATCCAGACCCGCAACATTAACAACTCATTTAGTAACATTGAAATTAATTGAATCGACTGATTTTACTGAAATTTATACAGTTTTGGATGAAAGAATTGGATTTGCTAACTCTGTTGAATTATGAAAAAAATAAAAAATATTTTATTAATAAAATAAAGGAAAAAATATACTTCATCTATCCATTAAAACATTGCCAAGTTTGACCTGTCACGAAAATTAATAAAATAAAAATTATGTGATTCAGATTTGTGCAGAGCAAATAGAATTAACTGTAATCACAAATTGATTACTTAAAAGGAAAGTGACAAAGTTAGTGTGGCAACCAAAAAAGAAAAATAGGTAAAGTTTTAAGGGACGGAGAGAGTATGAAAAATAGCTAAGACGGTCTTCTACAGTAATCAAATTTTTTTTCCTAAAATATTACTAATAAAAAATTTATGGACAAAAATGTTACTATGTGTAAGTTTTATAGATGTAATTAACATTTGAATACAATTATAGTCATTAAAGTTACTAAGATCACATTTTTGTCAAATACTTTTATTTTAATTATATATTTGGAATTATTTCATTCTTGAAATGATTTTTACTTTTTACCCCATCTTCTTATATCGCATCCTTTGTTTTTATTTTGCAAGACTATATAAAATAAAAATGAATGAATATTAAATAGTATTCATTGCAATAGTTAGTATGAACAGATTAAAAAGTAGGGGGGTAATGAGGTAAATAATCAAATTTATGTTCTAGAAAGAATGACGAGACCAATGAAACATGAAAGGGGTGTTAGTTGGCTGATTATAAAAGATATGTGGGAATTTAAGTGTTTGGTAACAGTGATTAGTAGGTAATTCCTTGTTTCGAAGCGCTGATTTTTTTTGAAAGGAAATAATTTATATTATAGATATAAATTCCCAAACGGCCAAGCCTCCTCCTGAGACTCCGCGTAGCCAAACGGCCCTCTCACTCTCTGACTAGACACATAATAGCCCACCTAGTTACGAGCGAGATTAATCGCTAACCATATGAGAGCTTCGAAGCTTTTGCTAGCCACACTAGCCTTATCACTTCCACCCCAAAATAAAGTACTAAAAGTAAAAACGATAAAACACCTACCGCTACTGTCTGCAATAACAAAAGAACAAAAGTTCTGGAAATAAATTAAATAAAAGCAGCAAAAAAAAATTGTCTCGAGCTCTCCAATTCCTCCTCTCCTCTCTTGCTGGATCTGAATAGGACTTAGTGACGTGTTAGGCGAGCCACCAAGTCGCAGCTCGCCCCCTCTCCGTTTTTTGCTATGGATTGATCCATCTCCGCCTCCTTATCATAAAAATTGTCCTCTACCTCTTCAGTCCTCCTACGCTTCTGTTCTGCTTTGCCCCCTTGACCCGCATTATCCCTACTCTACAGGTTGTCATCTTGTTTATTATTATTAGCAAGAGAGACTTCGCTTGTCTGAACACTTCTGGTGTATCCTTTATCTGCCGGGACTAACCATTTATTCTCACTCATTTGAGCTCTCCCCTTTGCCGTCCTGAGCCATGGGCCAAAAGGTCTTTCACCATTACTTTCGCCTCCTTCACGCTTGCGGGGACAGTAACTCTCTGCATGTCCAATTATTCCACAAAGAAAACAAAAACTTGGCAGTTTCTCATATCGAAAAGTGACACAGTAATTTATTCCTTCCTCATTTTTCAAGAATAATTTTCTTTTCAGCGGTTTACCAATATCCAAACTAACCCGAATCCTCATGAACGGGTTCCATCTCATAGAAAACTTGTGCTCATCAACCTTAATAAAATTTCCAACAAAATTACCAATCCGTTCCGCATTATTCATGGTAAAATAATCAACTGGGATATCATGAACCTCTATCCAGAAATCTGCTTTGTTCAAAGGGACTGACATGGGTATGTCCCCTTTTTCAATTTACTCAAAATAATCAAATTCTGGTCATAAATCCAGGGTCCTTCCTCGGTAACCCTAGTCATATCACCCATGTCGTAAAATTGGAACAAGTATCGCCTAGATCCTAACTCCGTTATCGTGACTCCTTTCTCAGGTTTCCAAATCGAAGCCATAATATCACGAAAGTTAGTGAATCGTACCGTTTTTTCTAACGTAATCGTGCTCACTAGTGATAAACTTGCAGTGGATATAGCCGGCTCTACTGATTCCACCACCAGGAATTCATCTTCCATATCCATCTATCTGTAGGCCTACGCTAATGATTCAACCTCTTCATGATTGTAATGGACCTCCGTCTCCGGCTGCTTCCGATTTGTTCTCCAAGTGCAGCACCAGGAATTTTACGTTTGATGCTTGCCGATTTGAGAACAAAAACTTGCGGCGATGACCACTGAAAACTTGCGCAAAAGCTGCGCCCAACCAAAACCCTAACATAGGGTTCCGTCCGCACGTTTTTTGAAAACAATCTTATTAGTCACACAGAATTAATAAACCCATGACCCACTCAATACTTCTTTGAGACCCGTACTTTATATGGTACAACCCAAAATGACTTTAGTTTGAATTATTGTTGTTGTTATGTGAATAAAAATAATTATTCTCTAAAACTGATGTTCGTTTTCATTTGTCAAAACACGGATTACTTATGGCAGAAATATGAAAAGAACCCTGGTTCTTGCTGAACCAGATTAGATCAACCTAACCTTATGCTCGAGGCATTGATTGAGAATATAAACAAGCTTAAAATGCATTGAAACATTAAACGATCATGTTTATCTCTATCATCCTATAAAAGTTTGAGCAGTTTAAGGCGTTCTTCGTGCTCTGTGTCCAGTTTCGGTGTGGTATAGCAGCCACGGAGATCTTCAACTACGTATTCCTGCAGATTCAGAGAGAGGGAGATCATTGCTGCTCCTAATTTACAGGCACTTGAGGTTACAAAAAGAAGCGGGGAAGGGAATGAACCTGAGTAAGCTCTCTCTTAGTCAGAATGTGGTAGTGTCTCTGCCAGATCCTTTGGAATGCCATGGTGGCAGCAAGGAACCCATATGCAATGCCCATGATAGCAAAGATGACTACGAAAATGATAACCAAGGCGAAGCATGCTTCCATTGATGCAGGAAAGCAATCCAAGATGCCCCAGCCATAACAGCAGTTCTGACACCCAGCCATGTGTGGGTCATTGCTATTAAAGGAGGAGCAGTGTAGAATCAGCCCAAAAAACCCAAGCAGCACAAAGAAGGCAATTACTCCTGTTTCATTTCATACATATTATCAAAGTTCAGTTAAAGCCCTCCTCCAGTAATGGGAGAAACTTGCAAATTCCCACAACTCGCATTCTACAATACTAAAGCTTATCTGGATCTAAAACCTGTTTCGGATTTGGCTGAAACGACTAAATTGGCTGGACAACACAGCGGAATGGTCTAAATATTCTGAAAAATTAAAGTGTACTCTATACTCTAGTATACATACTAATACATAAAATTTAAAATAAGTAGAAAATGTAACTTATTTTCTACCAAGTAATTCCCTTTTCCACGGGACACTTGTAAAACACTCTGTAAAGAACATTTCTGCCACAAAAGAATTGCATTTCTTATCCAAATAATCCAATTATTACAATTTCACAAACTTACAATGCTTACATGTACAATAAGTCAATAACCAAAGGGAGTGTCATGTTTGGACAAGATATGGTTCAGTACTACATTTACTCAAGAAATCCAATTATATTATTGTATCTTAACCTACATACAACAGCATCAAAGCCTTAACCTACATATACAATCTTTTTTGGGTGAGTGGGGGGGCTTACCTATGCAATAATAAAAGGGAATAGGATGTTTGGATAATATTCGGTCCCAACTGTCATTGAATGAATTCCTAAATGTTCCATCTTTATCAATGAGGTAAGCAAAGCCACCAATCACTGCAATCACCTGTCGAGTAAAAGAAAGGACAATAACAATTAAATGAAGTTCAAAAAGTGGTTCAAGATTGTACCCAATTTACCACCATTACCTTCATGGGGGAAAAAAATATAAATGATAAAATATTTCTTCAGTATTTCTATTTTAGTTCCAAACATGCTTGTTTTCCTCTTCATACTTTCATTTTTTAAAGAAACCCTAGAGACACAAACATCTTAAGCAAATATCCATTCAAAAAAAAGAATGCTTTCAGTATACACAAAGTGGGCCTAAAAGCACTCGCCTGGTGAAAAGACGCATTCAGTAGAAGCAACATAAGTTCAAAGATTAAGGAAGACATAATACGTACAGATTGTACAGCCAAAAAGACAAGAAAAATATCCCTAGCAACAAAGAGTCTGAACTTTATATTCCTCCAACTGTTGTCCTCTAACTCTGCCACTCGAAGATGAAACTGAGCTTTACAAGTAGTACAGTGTGAAAATGCGAATCCTTCCTACAATACAATGTACATCAGAAGTCATCATTTCATATTAAACCATTGGGTTGGGTTGCAATAATGGAGTTGCAATATCTCACTTTGACTGATCGCCAATGATCAAGACAAGTGCGATGCACAAACTGTTGGGTGCCTTTGCACATGCACGGTGATATCAAGTCATCATCTGAAAATGGGATTAGTTAGAGGAAAGAAAAACTAGGTTAATCAAACTACTAGTGACAAATGATGATTTTAATAAGGAAAAAGTCATTTGTACACATAATTTGTACACATTTGTTGTACCACCCCTAGTTGACTGTGTACACAGGCATCTCGTTCAGAAGCTCATGTGTACATAGGCAACTAGGCGGTGTGTACAACAAATGTGTACAAGTAGCACGAAAAATGCGTGGTGTACACAAAATGTGTTCACCTTTTGTGTACACTTGTCTGTTCCTCACAGACAAATTGTCTGTAAACAGCAACTTGTGTGTGAGGGACAGACAAGTGTACACAAAGGGTGTACACATTTTGCGTACACCTAGCAAAACTCCAAGTAACACTCCTCTTTTAATAATGGATTCCTTCTTGTCAAAGTACATAGTACAAGAGTACAATTGTCCAAGCACTAACCATCACACATAAACATGACCGAACAGATTTTAAGAGACATACAAATAGTGATGAACAGAATTAAAATAAGCTCCCGACTACAGAATTAAAACTATCTCTTACAAAACAAAAAACGCATTAAACTCCTCATACACGAATTTATAATACATAAATTGTGAAACCTAGAGAAAAAACATCGCTCAGCCTATTTTGATAAACAACTACGTAAACATGGTGGCAATATATACCCCGAATAAAATAAATTGATAAGGAGTACTACCATCTTCTCCATCGCACTCGAGGCAGATTCTGCAGCAAGGCAGAGAACCAGTCTCCAAATCTTCTACCTTCATCTCGATGGAGCTCTCCGATTTAGATGAAAGAGGTGGCGTCGGGTCCTCATGGTGTTCGTTTAGTAGAGGATCGGAGTCGCTAGGATTAGGGCCTCCCAAAGGCTCCAGTTGTACTTCTCCATTCATCGATCCTACTCCTTGTAAGAACAACAAAGCAAATCCGCCCAGAGCTCCAAAAGCCCTATTCTTATTGGAGAATATATACCTCGCTGTGGATCGTTAAACAATGATCAATTCACCAAGTTAATAGCCTAGAGTTTAATATAAATAACAAAATACGGAGTTTCGAACGCGAATTATGAATTTTCATGAACAGCAGCGAGAATTATAGAGTGAATCGGGAGGATTGAAAAAACGGTTGAAGCACACACATGATGAAGACGGCGTCAACGGAGATGATAGCCTGAGGAGAAGGGCCTTTCGGCTTTATTCTGAAGTTTGTAGTCTAGTCGTGATAAAAATCATAAAATTAATCCTTTTTTCGGGTTCTTCACCTCCTTCAGATCAAAGGGACAAGTCTCTTTATCGGATGCGTGGAGAGAGTTTTTTTAGATGGAGTTAAACGGAGTCTTTTTTCTTTATGAACAGAGAGTCTTTGGATAGCTGATTGGGTTAGCGATTTTGACAGGCTGATTTATTTGGCCTTTTGACTGCCGGATTAGATTAGCGGATAGTTTAAAAAATGTTTGGTAAATTAACTGTTTGGATATAGTTGTTTCTCTCTAAAATTACGTATAAGGGCTTCTCTTTGTTCAAACAAATTCGTCCATGGATTTTATTATTATTGTCATTTTATATTATGTACTCCCTCCGTCCCATTTTAAATGTCCCGGAAGAGGGTGACACGAGTTTTAAGAAAAGTAGTTTTGTGTGGTTGATATTAATAGATAAAGTAAGAATAAAGTAAGAATGATTTTGAGCCACACAAACTTTACCAAATAAGGTATGAGACAATTAAATAGGGACATCCCAATATGGTAAAATGGGACATTTAAAAGGGGACGGAGGGAGTATATGTGATTTGGGGTAGACTTTTAATACGGAGTGACAAAATTTGTTTTCTAATACTCCCTTCGTCCCCCAATTAAGTTAACACTTTCTTTTTTGGACAGTCCCTAAATTAAGTTCACACTTCCCTACTTTTCTTATTTGGCAAATTAGCTACATCAAATCAGTGTCAAACAGTGCAAAACAGTATCAAACAGTGTTTGAACAGTGCAAAACAGTGCATTACACAGTAAAGTCAAATTTATTTTCTTAATACGTGTGAAGTCAAATTAGGAATTTAATTAGGGGACGGAGGGAGTATGGTTTAAACTTGCACCGTCTATTAAATATGTGCTGCTATAGGCCTACATGTTTTCCGGGACCCACAACAATAAAGGTGAAGTTCACCATCTATTAATTTTAATTCTTTAGTGACATGGGGCAAATGGACTTTACATCTGTAAAGCCGCTGAGCTCAAACGCTGCTCCAAGCAGCGTGTTGAATTTTGGCGTTTCCAGATCAAAACGCCGCTTCAATCTGCTGTTTGCCAAACGACCATCCTCAACGGTTTAATCTAAGTCAAACCGCCAACATAATTTGAAACGCCAAAAATGGCTGATTCTCCATTATCCAAACACAGCCACTGTATAAAGAATGTATGCCACAAACTGCATGTTAATACCGAGTATGAGAGTTTTGCAAACAAAATTAAAAGAAATGTTTTTGGGTTTTTAGTTTAAAATGAGTGTTTTTAAGCAATGTTAACCGGACCGGGTGGATCGTCCCAGAAACCGGCAACCCGACACTGAAATCGCTCTGATTGTACCTAAACACGTGAATATAGTTAAACCCGGAAAAACCCGTTGGCCCATTTTGACCCGGTCCGGACCCGCAACGGCCCAAACCCGAGAAAACCGAAAATTTGTCCAAGATCCGGCTAAATGAATTTTTTTGACTAAAGATACATCCGGCTTACTTGATGCTACATCTCTTCTTGACTGCTTCCCCTCTACCAACCGTGCTAGTTGATGATATTAAGCGCTCTTTTACAGTACGTATTATTTCTTTAGCATACAATGCTAAGTCATCAAAACTTTTCAAGTGCTAATTACTATTGCACTAACGAAAAGATACGTATTATTTTTAAGTAATACAAGTGCAACTGTGATCATACTATTGTTAGTATATATGTCCTAGCGACAATCACTTTTTAGAGATATATGTATTTGATCACATTCAGTTTTATATATTTGATATATACGGTATTACACATTGATGATTAAGCATTTCGATTGTCAATGTCTTATTCATAATTGTGTTCCCTTGGACTTATGTTGTCAATAAGTAAGTGAGAGCTTAGATGATATAACATAAGGTCCTAAAAAGGCCCCAATCAATGATCATCAAGAATGGGATATTGATGATATGCGATAAGATTGGTATGTGGACTGCATCATACTTTTAGAAAGTATGGTTGATCTCACGACTATGAGTTCTTGTAATTCATGATGGTCACATAGATATTTTAGAGAATATTGGCATACCCACCGAGAAACCATTTGATAAGTTCTATTCATGTGTCTATGGGATTATCGGCGTATAGAGTAGTGTAATAGTTCTCCGACTTGAGGTCAATATGTACTACATGTGCAGAGTGATGTACTTTGACCATGACCAACGCTTGCACTCCAATTGGGGTAGATACGGCATGTGTTGGGTGCATCACGAAGCACATGGAGTAGTAGTTGAGCCAAGAAATGATTCATTCCTCGTAATAGATTAAGAGAGAACATTCTACTTCTCATATCTAGATGGATCATAAAGTCATTGGCCAATGCAAAGATATATTCGTTTTGGATATCGAATATGATCATTATGGATCATTTAGAAAGATTGAGAGATAGAGACTAAGTTATTGGAATAGACACAATATCAAGTTCTAGACTTAGTTGAATGTTCGCTGAATGAAAGGACCGTATCACTATGAGCTCTATATTACAGGGAGTTTGTATAGTCCTCGCAAACGTCCTTATATATTAAGTTAGTCTGGAGAATCGTCTAGGGATTCACTAAGACCTTAATTTGATTAGTGTTTAATATATAAGGCCCTATGGGTCACACAACAAGTGATTATACCTTCCGATTGAATTGTTAGAAGGAATTAAATGTTATTAATTGGATTAAATAATATTTAATTCGTAATACTGAAAATGAATTAAATATTAATTAGATTAAACATATTTAATTCATGAAGCTGAAGGAGAGTTCTATTTGATAGAATTAATTAAGTAAGATAAATTAGATTTATCATACTTAATTAAGATGTATTTATTATTAAATAAAGTAGATATTTTCTTTTATAATTTGGAATTAAAAGAAAAGTAAATAAAATAAATATTAATATATAATAATTAGAAAGTGGCGTGCAGCCACATCTCTATTATTATTATTATTATTATTATTATTTTGTTTTGTTTTATCTACTTATTTAATTAATTAGGAGTATTGGTCCTAGTAGGATTAGAACTCATTAATTAGAAAGACTTTCATTGTGATTGGGAAACTAGTTTCGAACTAGTATAAATACATCCTTCTCCTTCATAATTTGTAGACCAGTTTTTAGATTCAGTATTACCAGTTTATTTCCCCGCAAAGAGATTTCCTAGTCTTTCTCTTAGGGAGATCTAACCGTTCTTTCGGAGAGGAGAAATCACGTGGATACCTAAGGTCAAGGATTATCACCGCTAGGCTGGAAGATCTGTAAGTTCTAATTCAGATCTGTTATAATTATCATATTCGTTATTTTGTCATAATCAGGAAAGATCTGTTTGGGAAAATTTTTTAAACTTCCGCTGCCGTACTTTCGAGGTACGTTACATCAATTTCCTAACAACTATATTATTTCTGAAAAAAGAATAATATATTTGAAATATCAAATAATCGTGTAAAAATGGTTTATACATGTATTTAAAAATATCAAATAACGTTATTGATATAATTATGGCTAAAATGGTATTTTTGAATACTATTGTGTGTTTGCAATGCTTACTACGGAGCATTATTATAGTTAATTGATTATTGTGCACAATAATATCCTTATTTTCTATTTTGTATATTATTTATATAATTATTAACATACTAAATTATAGATGTTGGGCGGGTTTTCCCGGCGTTGAGCGGGTTGACCCGCCAGGTCCGGGCTGACCCGTGAACCGATCATCCGTCTCGTCACTTCCCGGTTTGATTCTTGTAACATACGGAGTAGTAATTTTAAGTGATAAATTCTACTCCCTCCGTCCCGCAAAGAAGTTCACGGTTTGACCTACACACATATTAAGGAAATAAACTTACCAGGGAGTAAGTTTTACTATTTTGACACTGTTTCGACACTGTTTCGACACTGTTTGACACTGTTTGACACTGTTTGGCACTGTTTGGCATGTAGATAACCTCTCATTGAAGGAAATGAGAACTTCTTTTTGGGACTCCTAAAAAAGGAAAGTGAGAACTTCTTTGCGGAGCGGAGGGAGTATTTAACTAAGCACTTAAAAACTAAAAGCTAGTCGTCTGTACAAAGATGCTTTAAATTGTTTTTCATTTTTCTATTACACAAAAAACACTTATTTTACTCTGTATCAAATAAAACCAATTCTAACTTTTTCAAAAGTATATTTTTTCAAACACTACCGACTATTACAATTTAACACTTTCTACAAAATTACTTTTTTAAGTAGAAGCAAACGCAAACACTCTGTATATATCTAAACTGTAAATGTGATTATATAGATTAGAGCATCTACAGTGTTTGTTTCTAGAGACTAGCTTGCAATTTTGAAGCTACTAACCTACCATTGGAGTGCATCTCTCCTTTCTGACTAAGGCAAGCAAATTAGTTAAAACAAGCTACATGTTAGAAAGGAGAGAAGTTTGGATTAAAAATTTAAAATGGTAATTACCAAATATATTTAATTTTTTTGTAATTGATATATTAAATTAATTAATAATGCAACTGTAAAGTTAGAAATACAAGTTCAAATTAAAAGTGACTATAAATAGAGAAAGGTTTTTAAATTGAGTTGGACAATATTTTTTCCTACTCCGATCCATCTCTTTTGCCACTATACTTATTTTTCACAAGTAAGGTTTTCAAATAGAGGACCGAAAATCCAAACTCTCAAAATATCATTTACATTTCCCCAATATGAAAATATTTCAAAATAAGTATTATTTCAAAATATCATTTACATTTTCCCAATTTGAAAATATTTCAAAATAAGCATTATTTTTATTAACATATGGGCCTTATATAGATATGATAGTATAATCTATCTTTCCGATCTTGAATTGATAAGGTTCAGAGATCCCTTTTATTAACACAACTTTCACATGATTCCCTACTTCAAAATACTTGCAAATTTCTTGGTCACTAATAGCCAATGTTTTAGGGATCCCTTTTTCATTTGGTTTTATGTGTATGATATGATTTTCCTCGACCTTTTCCACCGCTCCTTTCAAATTTTTCAAGTCTCCTTTAACAACAATAACCCTGTTACCCTTCATGAAACAGCCATTCTTTTTGCTATTACCAAAAAAGTTAGGCATCTGATCCCCCTGCCTCTTAA